CCTTGGGTGAACCTGCTGGTATTCAAAATACAGTGGCATAGCATTCAGAATCACAGCAACTCACAAGCCACCACATTAGGACAAAGTGACAGACATTTGTCTTATAAGAGTTATTGACACCAGGATCCTGGTGTGGCGCTGTGTGATAAATCACTGGATTGCAAGGTTGATTTGAACCACAAAATTGGTGGTTCAAACTCAGCAGCCACTCCTTGGAAACCCTATACAGGGTTGCTATGAGTTGGAACCAACACAATGATACACACCCAACACCATCTCTTATCTAAAGCATCAGCCAAAAGCTGTGAATGGCCAATTCCCCACTGGTGATTCTGCATAGGTAATTTTCAAATATCTGGAGAGAACAGAATAAAATGCAGTGGATTTTCCTCTCCCATTTTTCCAATATGAGTTTGATTTGGTGGTGTGGCCCACACTAACTGGGACCAGAGTTCTGTGTCTGTCACATTGGGCACATCATATGCAAGAGGATAACACAGCTCACCAGACATGGCACCCAGGATTTTGATGATTTGAGGTGTTCCTTGGTGACTGTTGGGACGATGCTGAGGTTACATCCAGACTTAGTGGGAAAGAATGGTGGGACTCATGAACGATGAAGTCCGTCATAGGTTTTGGAATGGGCAAGGCAGCAAACATGACAAGCACAGGGTTTTACCAGCCACTGGGAAAGTGTATCAGTGTACTTGGATGTATGATAGTCTCAGGAAAGAACTGTGACAGCATGATTTTATTGTCTGGAGTGGAAGGACCAGGAAAATAAGAAACAAACAAATTCCTCCTACAATAAAATTCAATCCAAGTGGTGCACTGCCATTAGGGTTCTGCCATGCTTTTAAGTAAGTGCAAGTATTCTGGAAAGATTCTTTCTCTGTTTCCATTTGTCTTATAAGAGTTATTGATAATATTTTAATAGTTAAAAATATATTCTCTGTAAACTAGAAAGGGAGTATTATGGTGTCACTCTGTTGGTTTTGTGTACACTGTAGGACTTAATTTTCAGGCCAGCATTTGGATCTCTCATCCTGACTGGTGGTGTGGTGCTGTAGGATCAGTACTGGACTGTGAATCACAAGGTCAGCAGTTCAAATCTACCAGCCGTTCCTCAGAAATCCTATACAGGGTCACTATTAGACAGGACCAACTCAACAGTGCTTCATAACAACAGCAACTGCTTGGGGTTGAAGATTGCAAAGACATTCTGTAGTTGAGGTTCCCAAGGCACAGACATGGAAACATGGCAGGCCTTGGGAATGCTCTGTTGTCTTAAATGAATGCTCTGAAGGCCTAAGGTGGTTCTGCTTAGGTGTGTGGTGATTGTTGTTAAAAGCCTGCATTCTGAAGGCAATTACCTACTCTTCAGTTTCAGCTCTGCCACATATTAACTCTACAGCCTTGAGGAAGTTACTCAGCCTTTTTGGGACTCAGTTTTATCATCTGTAAACTTGAGATAATCATACTGTTTATTTTTAGGAACCCCTGAGTTTGTGGTGAAGTTTATAGGAGCTTAAAAAACCACAGCCATCGAGTCAATCCTGATTCATAGTGATCTTGTAGAGCAGGGGTTCTGAGACTGTAAGTCTCTATGGGAAGCCGAGAGCCTCGTTTTTCTTCTGCTGGTGGGTTTGAACTCCCGATCTTGTGGTTAGCAGCTCAATGCTTAACCCACTGTGTCACCAGGATGCCTTCCTGACAGACAAGGTATTCAATCCACTGATGAAAGGAGAGACATGCTGTTAGAAGTTGGAAGAGAACTGGCAATAGAGTAGAATACAATCTGTTTTCATCAGGCGATCCTCAGAAGTGTTACAAGAACTATATGCCAAACTCATGGGATTGTTTCTGAATGAAACAGAATCAAGAACTGAGGACTCTTAAATGAATTCCTTGAAGGCTAACCAGAGATACAGATAACTATAAAATTGATGTTGTTGTTAAGTGCCATCGAGTCCATTCAAACTCATAGCAACCCTGTATAGGGTTTCTAAGGAGCGGCTAGTGAGTTTGAACTGCCGACTTTGTGGTTCAAACTGAACTTGCAGTCCAGTGCTTTATCCCACAGCACCTTACCTGGCCTCCAGTTATAAAGTTGATTACTTTGAAAGAAGGTGTCTCTCAATATGTAGACTCACCAATTTTCACATTTTAACTGAAATTTTGTTGTAATTACACTGCTTCTTTAAGAATCTGTGAATTGAAGGTCTTGCTGTAAATTAGTTGAACAAAGAGAATCAGTGAGCCGACAATGACTCTGTCAATTAGAAGGAGAGGAAGCAGGAACTTAGGAGCCAAATTAGGTCAGGTGCTGTTGGCTTTTAGTTGAGAAATCTGGCTTTTTTGATCCTTGAAATGAAGGACAAAAGCTCACAAAGGCTTTTTTGAACAATGCTAGTTGCATGATACATTCTTCAGACTTTTATTGCACGGGCTAAAATATGAGCACCATGAATTCTGATTCAACACAGGGAAAGACACTTTCCTCTGAAACCCTTTCAAGTGAATAATAACTATATGATACACTGATATCCATGTATTAGCTACAAATGTGTCTCACTTCAGTACTTGGTAATAACATGAATATAGAACAATTGAGTCAGAATTACCTGTTCTTTGTAAAGCTCAGTAATAAATGCAGCCAATTGTAAAATAAGGAAAATATTTAGCTATTTTAGCAAACAGGAAAATTATTGGGAAGAGGAAGGGCAGACCATTTGGTGGTGTGAGTTCTGTGTAAGTGCAAAGTGCAGGATAGAAATGATTACTCCGCCACCACTAGGCTAGGCTGTGGAGAGCTGCTATGATATTGAATAACTGATTGTAAATTCTCATGTACTAGAAGAAGCTAGTGAAGGAGGATTATGAAAGTGATTGGATGCATTCAGAATCTACACTAGAGACATGTGTTGTGTAAAGAAATGCATTCACTGTAAAAAGGAGAGGGCGTAATTGAAAAATCATACTGTGACATGAAAACGGATTGCACAAGGATTATTTGAATGGTGGTGTGTCTACCGTTGTTAAGTGCCATCGAGTCAATTCTGACACACAGTGACCCTACGTACGGTTTCTGAGGAGTGGCTGGTAAGTTTGAACCATCGATCTTGCAGTTCAAACTTTCAGTCTAGTGCTAGATTAAATAAATCAATCCCATCATATACAGATAAAAACATTCCACAGTGTAAATAACATGATTGAAGAATACTGTTAATAATGTCATACCATCTTAAACCTGATGCACAATGATTCAACATGCCTGACTCTGGGAAAAATGACCCCCCACAGAATGCATTGAGTTACTTACGAATCCACGTGGTTCTCAAAGGAAAGGAGGATGGGAAAAGGTGACGTCTTAAATGCACACTCCGCGATGGCTTCTATCACTTCCTAAAGATAAGAAAACACAAGTAGATTCAATACACTGGAATTCTGAATGCATAGAGTGTTTTCTTGGAGGTTATATTCATTCATATAGTTGCCTTTTTCATTTGCAGAACTCTGTCGAGCCCTAAGATGGCTATGAAGGAATGAGAATGCTGCTGGACTGCAGATTTTCATACTGACTCGAACGCCACTGCGATTGAGTTAATTCTGACTCACAGAGACCCCATAGTACAAAGTAAAATAGCTCCTTAGGGTTTCTGAGACAGTAAATCATCATGGGAGCAGAACACCCCATTCTTCTCCCATGCAGGGGCTTTGAACTGGTGACCTTGTAGTTAGCAGCCCAATGCTTGAACTGGTGACCTTGTAGTTAGCAGCCCAATGCTTAGTCCACAGGGCTCTTGTCTGACTGACTATGCAGGGTAAAAATACAAAAATGGTTTTTGGTAGAGGCCCTTCCATTTTGGAGACTTGCTCTTCAATTATTTTTTTCTACTAATAGACATCTCATCACATTATAAAAACTTTACATAATTTGAGAAAGTAAAAAACAAAACAAAACAAAAAAAACCTCATCTATAAATCCACCCTTTGAACCAAATCACTGCTTATATTTGGTTATATTTTCTTCTAGTCTATTTTCCATGTAATTTTATATCTTGAATTTATTTATAGCAAATACTCAATTTCACTCAAAGTGTACAATATTTTAATATATTCACTAAGATGTACAATCATCATCACAGCGTAGGTCAGAATATTTTCACCACCCTAAAAGGAAAACTTTTACATTCCATTCTCACCCCATATGCGCCCTCGCCCTTCGGTGCAGTCACAAATCTACTTTCTGTCTCCATAGATCTACCTATTAGGAACATTTCACAGAAATGGAATCCGACAATAAGTGGCTTTTTGTGTACAGCTTCTTTCACTTAACATACTGTTTTCAAGGTCTATTCATGTTGTAGCATGCATCAGCACTTTATCCCTCAATTTGTATTTTCTTTTAAAGCTCTTATGTCATCTATTTTAATATCTGGATGAAATTCTGGAGGCTAGAGGTATCATAATTTATTTACCCATTCCCTAACAATTGAACTGGGGCTCTTATAAAAGTTGTCATTCAAATAATGCTACAAAGAACATCTTCATTTTCTCCTAATATCTTTCATCTTCTTTTTTTAAGAATGAATTCTCAAATGGAGGATGGCTGAATTGAAGATTGTGAATCCTTTTCTGATCCCTCATGCATCTGCAAATTCCTATTTACTTTAGGTTGCCCAGAGTAATGAATGAAAGAGCAGATTTCACCATATCATCATCAGCTTTGAGCACTACTTTTCCAAATATTTTTATTTTACTGGTATTAAAGTGCAATTTTGGAGGCCTGGTGTGGTGCTGCAGATTAATGCGCTGGACCGCAAGGTCGATTTGAACCACAGGGTCGGTGTCTCAAGCTCACCAGCCGCCCCTGAGAAACCTTATACTGGGTCTCTATGGGTCAGAACCAACTTGACGGCACTTACCAACAACAACAAAAGTGAGATTTTACTTACTATAAATTATATCACTGTAAACACTCCTGAGGTTTCAATGTTTCCCATATATTGGTTTTGAGTTGCATTTCTTATTTTCCTTCCTTGCAGGAATTTCAACACCCATTCCTTTTGGTTGCTCCTTAATCACTTTCTTTCCAACCTTCTCTACCTTCTCTATACAGGACATGGCTTTCTTCTGGCAGTGGTATAACAAAGACACATAGATCAAAGGAACAGAACTGAGAACCTTGTAGTAAATCCACCAACTGATCTTTGACAAAGGATTGAAGCACATTAAATGGAGAAGAGATAGTCTCTTTAACCAATGGTTCTGACAAAACTTGACATTCATTTGCAGAAGAATTAAACAAGATTCATATACCACATAATACACAAAAAGGAACTCAAAATGGATCAAAGACCTAAAGGAAAAACCTAGAACTATAAAGCTCATCAATGAAAAAAATAAGGACAAACTTAGAGGCTCTGCTATACGGCATAAACACACTATCAAACATAAATGCACTATCAAACATAAATACGCTATCAAACTAGATGACTGAGACCTCCTAAAAATTACACACTGCTCTGGTGCTGTAGACTAAGCACTGGATCACAGGTCAGCTTGCACCACAAGATCAATGGTTCAAACCCACCAGTCGCTACTCCGGTTGGCTCTGAGTTGGAGCTTAACTTGATGACATTTAAAAACAACAACAACAACAAAATGTGCATCAAAGTACTTCACCAAAAGAGTAAAAGGAGAACCCACAGACTAAGTGAAAACATTGGCAATGACATATCAGACAAGGGACTAATATCTAAAATTTATAGAACATTTCAACATTTCAACAAGAAAAAGACAAATAATCCAATTTAAAAAATGGACTAAGGACACTTTACCAAAAAGGACCTTCAGACAGCCAATAAATATATGAGGAAATGTTCCTAATAATTTGCCATCGGTGGTGGTGTGCCGTGGAGTCAGTTCCGACTCATAGTGACCCTGCACAGGATTTCTGAGGCTGTAAATCTCTACAGGAGCAGAAATCTCATCTTTCTCCTCAGAACAGCTGGTAGTTTCGAACTGCTGACCTTGAGGTTAGCAGCCTGACTCGTAACCACTACGCTACCAGAAATGCAAATGAAAACAACAATGAACTATCAGTTTATCCTAGCATTAATGGCAATGCTAAAAACACAAACAGAAAACAACAAATGCTGATGAGGGTGAGGAGAGACAAGAACAAATACTGGTGAAACTGCTGAGTGAAATGAGTTAATTACAAAAGAACAATTATTGTATGCGAGTACTATTATAAAAAGTCTAGAAAACACTTTCATACTACAAGAAACATTCTTTGATGGTTTCCAGGGGTGGGAGGGGAAAAGGAGTAATGCACATGCTAGTGCGTTGGTTATGAGTGGTCATTCAAGGTGCAACTATTGGGTAAAGCTTACACCTTAAATGGTCACTCATGAGCTACCTCATAAAGTGTAACTATTGGGTAACGGGAGTTCTGGTGTGACGCTGCAAGATAAAGTATTGGGCCACAAGCCTAGTTTGAACCGAGAGGTTGGCAGTTCAAATTCACCAGCTACTCCTCGGAAACCCTTTACAGGGTGGCTATGAGTCAGAACCAACTGGATGGCACTTAACAACAGTTGGGTAAAGGGGAAGACAATATATACTAAGAGGGTGGTTAGCACTAGAATGATGGAGGCACAGGAAGACACAGGGAAAAGTGCAAGAGTGAAAGGCTACTGAGGTAAACACTGTTCTGTATACATTCCTGCAATAATGATGATCTACAGTTAGGTGCAGGGACAGACATGCAGGCTGAATGGGTGTAGGAGGGTGAGTGGGAGCACACTCACCAATACATAAAAGTTTGACAGAGGATATTTGTATATGGGTATTTACCTTTTCTTCAAACACATCCATGAATATGATGGAACATACAAGGGTTAAAGTTATGAAAACATAGATATCACCACATACCTTGAGGAAATGAATTGTTGGGTGTGATGATTCAGGATTATAGTCCTGGGAGGGCCCATGGTCAACTGGCATAACATGTTGTTTGTTGTTGTTGTTAAGTGCAGTCGAGTCGGTTCTGACCCATAGCGACCCTCTACAGGGTTTCCGAGGGTGTAAATCTTTATGGGAGTAGAAAGCCTCATCTTTCTCCCACGGAGCAGTTGGTAGTTTCGAACCGCTGACCTTAAGGTTCGCAGCCCAATTCGTAACCACTACGCTAGTCCTGGGAGGGCCCCATGGTCAACTGGCATAACATAGTCCACAAAAATAATGTGCTAATGCGCCAGACTGCAAAGATGTTTGAACTGCAAGGTTGGTAGTTCATGCTTACCAGCTGCTCCTTGGAAACCCTATACAGGGTCGCTGTGGGTGGGAACTGACTCGACGGCACTTAACAACAACAACAACAATTCTATTATGGTGAGTATTGACTGGAATCTTAAAAGCCCAAGAGCAGCCATTTAAGGTGTAACTATTGGTCTCTCCCTTTCTGGAGGACAGAAGAGTAATGAAAATTCAAGACGCTTGGAAAGAGTCAGTCCAATGGACTATATATATCAACATCAAATCAGTCTCAGTGATTCTGAGACCAGAAGAACTAGACGGTGCCTAGCTACCACTACACTTCTCTGAATGGGATTATATTAGAAGGCCCTAGACAGAGTGAGACAAAACTCAAAAAAAAAAAAAAAAAAAAAGAGCAGGCTTACTGGTCAGAAAGACTGGTGGAATGCAATGCCAAGACTTTGGACCTTGGTCACCTTTCATGCCTGGAACTGAACTAACACATCCCAGTGACACATGTTCAGGCAAGCAATAGATAGGTATATGGCGGGGATAACAAGAAAACAATACTAGTGAGGTACCCGCACCACAGAATGGTCAACCATTCAAGATCAAAAGGGCAACATTTTCCTAAGGACAAAATTCAGAAGGGTTGGGAAAGAAGGAGGAAGGGAAGCAAGAATCGCAGAGAGAAACTAGGATAGGTGGTATTACATTGACAGGAAACGATGAAACAAAGCGTAAGAGTTGTTGAATGTGAAACTGATGATGTGCTCTGTAAACTTTCACTCAAGTCACAATAAAAACATTAAAAAAAATAAACAAAAGTCACAAATGACCCCCCCCCCAAAAAAAAAAGATGCAGTTTTCTTTGCACCCATGTTAGAATGGCATCTCCCTGCCAGCAGGATTAAAGGAAGCATGCTAATTCCACACTCCATTTGGTTATATTCCCTGAAAAGGATTTTCCTGCAAGGAGCAAGAAACATTGCTCTCACTTTTTCATAATTCAGAGATTTCCCTTCATACATAATTTGTTGAACTTTGAAGACTAATGAAGTCCAATGAAACTCAGACACATTATAAAAAGACAAGCAACATCAAGACATTAAATATTATAGCTGATTTATTTGAGCACA